AATCAAATAAAAAAAATAGATTTTTATTTTGTTACAAAAACAAAATGAAAATCTGAAACAGAAAAAAAACACAACTCCAAGACCAAAACATCACATCATTAATGACGGGACCCACTGCCACTTAATTAGTGGGAGCACTAATTAGTGCTACCAAGCATTTTTCTTATTTTGACACATGTCAGGGTATTGACCTTAATAATGTTGGACAATCTTCACTGTATTTGAAAAATAAATTTTGTTTGTGTACTTAACAACAAACGAAATGCAGAATAAATAAAGGAAATGAGAGAATTTGTTTGATTACAAAAATCAAACCAGAAAATAAAATCAAATAAATAAAATAGATTTTTATTTTGTTACAAAAACAAAATGAAAATCTGAAACAGAAAAATAATAAAATAGAAAAATAAATTAATTACCTACCAAAATTAAAATGTTGAACATATTTTTCTGATCAAGTCCAGTGTTTGACACTATGTCCTTAAGACAGATTCGTCATCTCCAGGGTACTTTCAGATTGTAGACGTCTATCTCCTAGGATAAAATGATCAATTAACAAACAATAACAGCACTACAAATTGTTTGCACAACGAACACACTAAGTGTCTACACTCTTTTCTCACAGAAATTTAAAGCAGCAAAATAGAGAGAATTATTGTAGAGGAGAAGTACGAAAATTGTGAATGAATAATCAATAGAGGATCTGTCTATTTATATGAGAAAAAGTGGCTATTTGGTTTGAATTAAACAGGTGCAAACCTATTCAGTTTGAATTGAACAGATATGACACTGTTTGGGTTTGAATTTGAATAGATATTAAAACTGTTCCAGTTTAAATTCAAACAGATAAAAACCGGGCAGAATTTTGATGGAGGAAAAAACCGAACAGATTTTTTTCGGAATTAATTTGAATTTTGGACAAAAATTTTATTTTACCAAAAAATAAAATAAAATTCAAATGTTTTTGGCCCAAAAAGATAGGTATTGGGTCGGACAAGCCCAATCCAACCTCACATCACGCACTCGCGCCCAAGCCCAGCCCGCCCGACCGGCTGGACGAACGGTGACGGCGACGCGCGCGTGTGTTTATTTTTGAATCCAATGGGTCTAGCCCACTTTATTCATAACCTCTTTCTCTATAAAACCTGTGTGCTCCTTGGGGCCTACCCCAAGTTCCAAACTCAAGCCTTATAAACCCACTCAAAGTATGTCCACCAAATCAATGTGGGACAAGCCTTAAACCAAACCTCTAGGAAATTTCACCAAAAATACCATTTCCATTGGAGCTCACTTTGGCTTCAATTTCTCATTCACCCGATAATGGTTTTGAGCAACCAAATATACCACGTGAATCACAACGTGGCATAGAACGCGTTATCACTTAGACCCGCCAAATTTGGCGCATGGGTCCCACCTAAAAAATAGACCAAAGTTAAGAAAAAATCAGATTTTTCCAAAACTTCAAAACCATTTCTAACAAATAATCTGTGAACCATGTGACTCTCAGGACAATAATTCCCTCAGCTTCCAAAGCTTTGTGAACCATGTGACTCTAGAGACAAATTCCCCCAGCATCTAAAGACTTCATTAACAATCACAATTGCAAGCCATCTCATAAAGATAAACAAAGGATGGTTCCATCACATCCATGCCAGAAGACAATTCAAAAGAAATAAACGATTAATAATACTCTCTCTACCGACAAAGCAAAATGCTCTCTCCACCGACAAAGCAAAGGCAATCAAACAAAACATAAAGCAAAAAGATGATTCCTTCGGATTTCAATTCATTTCGATTCTAGACTCCTTCATCTATATAAGGCAAGCCACACTTCAGAGGAAGATAGGCTTTCTTGAATATCAAAAGCTTATTGTAATATAGTGTGAGAAAATTTGAGTGTGTTTAGTTTGAGTGTGTTTCGAGTGTATCAAGAGTATGACTGTATTTAGTGGATGTTATGTCCAATCTGCTACTAGGATTGTGACCTATTGTAAGTTTTTTTTATTATGATTTCGTATTTTAATATAATTATTGTTTGTTTTGTTATGCCTTTAATTTTTGATCTGCGTCAAGAAATTAACAATAGTATTCAATATATTTTTGATTTAGAAGAAGAATTAACTAATTTAAGATTATTATTATCTCTTGCATCTGGTTAATCAATTATTAACTATTGTCAAAGAATTGCCACAATTAAAAGAAAAATAAAAGATGAACATGCTTGTCTGAAACGTCTCCAAGAACAATTACAGTTTGTAATTTGTGTGTAAACTGCATCACTCACTTAATTTGTTATCTTTGGATTAATAGGAGTCCACTTGTATCAGAGAGAGAGAGAGGGTTTTGTTTGTTTTCCAAAAGGACCGTGTATATCCCATATATATATACACGACCATTTTGGTCATTTTACTTAAGTATATTCCTATGAACAAAGTATTTTAAAGCGTGAACTTTCAACTAAACAAAATTTAAATATAGATTTATAAACCAAGTGCACTTTAAAATTTTGCTTTCTTTCTCAAAGAATGAATATGTTAATGGAAAATGATATAGGCCAGAAATTTTCTACCAAATAAATGACTAAATGTCTCACATGGGTGTGAGATCCACAAAATTGCAGACCACATACCTATGTGAGACGTTTAATCATTTATTTAGTAGAAAAATTAATATCTCTAGTATTACCTTATGTTAATTCCTTTTAAAACATAAGGTACCCAACTTAAAATTTAATGACCCAAAATTCATGCAATTGAATGCTTGCACTTGCACACAATTTCAATTAAGTAATTTGTGAATTTTTAAAATTGAAGATAAAGCCTTAATTAATACAAACATTTTTTTTAATTATTATTGCATATTAACTTATTAATTTTTAAGAGTTGTGAGTATAATGTAAGATGTAACTTAACAAAAGTAAGTCAATATGATAAAAAAAACTTTAACAACTATATTTACACTTTTTAATAATAAAATTATATTACTTCTATTTTTAAAGGGAGGTATTCATATAAATTTTTTATAATTAAAATTTTCAAATTTAAAATAATAAATTACATTTTATCTCTTTTATTTTTGATCATTTTCTTACTTTAGCCATTGAATTTTATTTTTTGCACTTTAGTTTTCATATTTTTAATTTTTTTTCAATTTACTCATAAAATTAATTTCTATTCAAAATTAGAAAGAAAATATTACGTTAAATATTACATGACATAAAAATATATTATTATATTGAAATTTGGGTTTGAATTATAAGTGTAAATTATATATAATAAAACATTTTTACACCACATAAGTGTGAGTGAATTGGAAAAAAAAAAGAATCAAACATAAAAAAGAGGGCAAATTACAGTAATAGTCTCTATAGTTTACCTGTGGTTTCATTTTGGTTCATGTACTTCTAATTGTATCAATTTTGCCCTTACAGTTTGTTTTTGGTTCTATGTGGTCCAATAGTTAACATCCATTGGCCTTTTAGACGGAAACCCATGCGTGCCTTGCACGCACGAGATGAAACCAACCAATTCCTCTCTCTACCCTATACATACACATCCATTGTATCTATCTACACCGTCTCTGTATAAACCCCTTCCCATTCATCATTAGCTCCAACACCATTTTCTTTCATTCTTTCATTCTTTCCTTACAAACCCAATTTGCATTGCCATATAATCCTTGTATATAAAGATTTGAATTTGAAATCATTGCAAGGGCACATTTTTTTTGACCCATTTACGGATTGACTGGTTTTGTTTTTCAAATTATTAAAAAAAAATGAAACGGTGAGATAGACGAACCTAGAGATCTAAGGGCGATCCCAAGGATGAGCAAAGCGACGATGTAAGGGACTCTGGTTCCTCTGAGGAGATGTCTAGATGCAATTCCCATCACCATGCTTATCCCGAAGAATATCACCCCGTCCATCGGATTTCATGACGAATCTGAATCTGAAACCGAATTCAACTTCACCAAAAGCGCCCCTTCCTCCATCGAACCCATTTCCAATTCCACCACCACTAATTCAACCTGTAAGTATTTAGTATGTACACAACAAATACACTACCACACTATATATATATACAGAGAGAGAGAGAGAGAGAGAGAGAGAGAGATATGAGTAAAACACTAGGAATTATTTGTTATTCAACTCAAAGGCTTAATGGTTTGTGATGAATTGTGAGTATAAATTTGTGGTTTTAATCTTCTGAATTTAATTTTTTTGGAAATTGATTTATTTGATTTATTTATTTTTTTTTGTTGTTAATGAATGTGAGTACAAATTTTTTTTTGTATTTTTTTAGTAGATACAATGGATGTGTATGTATAGCGTAGAGAGAGAGGGATTGACTGGTTTTATCTCATACATGCAAGGCACGCAGGGGTTTTCATCCAAAAAGCCAACGACTGTTAACTATTGGACCACATAGAACCCAAAACCAAACTGTAAGGGCAAAATTGATGCAATTAGAAATACATGAACCAAAATGAAACCATGGGTAAACTATATGGACTATTGTTGTAATTTGCCCAAAAAAAGACAAACATAATTGGTCCGGGCTTCCATCCAGTCTCAGATCGGACTGGAGGGTGTTGTTAGGCCCGTGGGGGCTTACCATGAGTCCCGTTTCGATAATCGGAACCATTCGATATATAGAACTCGTTGATTACAATATTTTATAAAAATCACGCTGCTTGGACATCGATAGTTACGTGATCAAATCAATTTTGTATAAAAAAATAGACGGTCAAAAAATAAACGATTGATAGATTAATGATCCGATGAGATAATTATCGATATCCAATCAATATAATTTTTTACAAACATATAAAATTAAACTAGTTCTACACAATATTTGAATTATCGAAATGAGACCTATAAAAAACCCACGAGCTTAACCGTACTTTCCAGTCCAATCTGAAAAAGCAGAGAACCCACTGCCAATATAATTTACCCAATTTAAAAAATAAATAATTAACCCTTAAATTAGAATATCTCCGGTCAACCCTAAACCCTAATCGAATGCCCGTGTTATGTATATATAAAACTCGTCTCTTCTCACATTTTTAGGGTTTTCTTCACAGCCGTCAAACTCTCTGGTTTTGCATCGCTCTTCGTCACTCTTCATTTCAATTCACCATGGTCGCCGCCAAGAAAACTGTACTCTCTCTCTCTCTCTCTCTCTCTCTGATTCTGATATATATTTTTGAATCTTCAATGTCTACGTTAACTGCTTCATTTCACGTTTCTGTAATTCGTTTTGATTCGGAGATAAACTCTATGCGAAGAAATTATTTTGAATTAAATATGAAATCTTCAATCGACTGACTACCATCTGGCTTAAAGATTTCATTTTCTTCTTGTTTTGAAAATTTTCTCAGCAACCAAACTTGTTTTATGGTTTAGATCTACACTAACGGTTAGATTATTGTTTTTGGCGATTCAGAAGAAGACTCATGAGAGTATCAACAGTCGGCTCGCTCTCGTGATGAAGAGCGGAAAGTACACCTTGGGATCTAAGACTGTTCTTGAGTCCCTCAGAGGCTCCAAAGGTAGCGTAGCGTTTTTGCATTTGTACTTTACATGGAAATTTTCTCATCCTGATTTGATTTCTGATTGTGTGCTTACCCTAATCCCTGTTTGCCCCAGTTAGCAGAAATATGAGCTCAATTATCGGCATTAATTTGAAATGTTTGAATTGATTAGCCTTATTTTGATGCTTACCAAACAGCTCTCTGTGTTAGTGGAATTTTGTACTTGTGAGACTCTGTATTTCTTAGCATAAATAAACAATTTACTAGCTGTTTAATTTGTGAGGAAAGTTGTGTAGTGTACTTCAATTCTTGCATGAAGAGGCAATGAGAAGTGATCATTAGGGAGCAGTGTATTCTGGTTCAGTTGCTTGCTTTTAAAATGATATTGGTAATCAAAGTAGTTCGTTCTTTGGATAGGAAGAATTGCTTTGGTTTACTTTGTAGCTAGTACATGTATGTCTGTGAGTTGAAGGTTGTTTATTTATTTATTGCATTACTTATCAAGAGAGAAGGCTAATTCAATTCTTTGTTGTATTTGTGTTTTATAGCCAAACTGGTTATCATTGCCAACAACTGCCCTCCACTTAGGAAGTCTGAGATAGAGTACTATGCAATGTTGGCAAAGGTTGGAGTCCACCACTATAACGGGAGTAAGTTTCTTACCACAATGTTGGCAAAGTTGCTTACTAGTTTTGCCTCTTGATTTAATAATCTTTTGTTCTTTTTTGGTATTATTATTTGTTCACTTCAAAACAAAGTGCGTACTCTGCATGTATTGTATAGGCTTAACATATCACTTTGCCTCAATTTTCATTTAGTTGAATTCAATTATGCTATTCTAGCATTCAAGAGAGGTGTTAGCTTTAAAAAAGTTTCAGCCACTCTCATCTACTTGAATGCCACTTTCACTTTGTTTATTTTTTTTCTTTTTATTGCACGTCTTTCTTGTTGCAAACTTCATATTGTCATGCATGAACATGGGTCTTGTACTTCTACAAATATGAATTGATATAATATCTTCTATTAATGTCTTTGATACAGTGGAATTGTGAAACAGTATCATGTAGCTGACCCCAAATGGTGAAGATTGGATTTATTGAGTTTTGTGGAAAAGAAAATGTTCAAAATTTCATTAATTGATTCATTTGAATTTGGGTGTTTGTTTTGATGAATCATGCTGCATGTTTGTGGTTATTAATATCACATTACAATTGACAAACACGGGGTTTGTTAATTAATGCTTATTTGTTTTGTTTATTCTTTTGATCTTGGAAGTTTTTTTTTTAGAAGCTCTTATTCTGTGTGTACTCTTTCTGAGATTAATGCTACTTTCTATTTAATTTTTGTAGTTCAGTTAAATATTTAAAATATTTTAAAGTAACCCTTTTTAGTTTGCCCCATTTGACTTCCTGCATGAAACCTGAACATGATTTGTTCTGTAATGTTTGAATGGTTGACAAATATAATGGGATTGGACATGGCCCCATGTATTTCTGGACTTTTAGATGATTGTGTGAAGACTGTAGTTTCTTATTTGAGTGATATTACTCTATACCAAATATGGATGGTAGTGGTTCTTTTTATTCTTTCTAAATTTCTGCACCTGGGATCATAAAATATAAATGCCACATCCTAATTAGCCATAACAATGTACCTTGTATTGTTGATGGTGGTGTATCTTAGCCATATGTTATGGCATTGATGATCAATTTCTGGATCTGGTTTCAATTATTAATTTGTGAATCACAGTAATGATGCATGTATAACACATATCCCTTTGATCAATACTAGCCCATTAGCCTATTTTACTTATTTATTTATTATTTTTCTCATTTGGTTGTCTTGAGAAAATATCATATGCTTTGTGGTGTACCTTCCCTCAACCTCGTGCTATTTTGTTATTGCAGACAATGTAGACCTAGGGACTGCTTGTGGCAAATATTTCAGGGTTTGCTGCCTCAGCATTATTGACCCAGGTAATGATGATTCTAGCTATTAGTTTTTCTATAGACATTAAAGATCCTTGTGGTTTGGTTTGATTAATGGAAATATTTTTTGGATTTCAGGTGATTCTGATATTATTAAGAGCATGCCTAGTGATCATTGAGTGAAACTTTAGTGGAGAACACGCTCCAGAAAGATTTTGGTCCATTTCCGATTAGAAATTTGCTTGGTTGTTTCTCTACAAGAAGTCCAACTAATGTTTCAATTAGATGTGCTCTTTCTCTTTTAACTTTGCTTTAAATGCAAGATGGTGTTGAGGTTTTAAGTTGAACAAACATATTTCTTTGAGACCTATTTACCTTTTATGTGATATTCTTGGTTTTGTTACCTGGTTGATGGCTGATTTAAATTCTTGTTGGGCTTGCATTTTGAATGGGATGTATTTTCTTAACAATTTTTATGGTGAGTAAAACAAGTGCTAGACTACCCTATGCAATATCAATTTCTGTTAGTTTGGTATTATTTGTCATTTTCACCCACATTTGGTCTAATAAATGAACTGAACCGATTGAAAAGGAAATTTTTAGTTTTGTACTGGTAAGGTATTGAAGATAACCACAGTTGAGGGAGAAGCATATGGTTTACACTCATTAGTGACATCTTTGAGAATAATATCATTAGCCTAAATATGTGAAAAAAACAATCCTAGAATAGTTTCTTGGCTCGGGAGTTACAAACCAATAAAGTAGTTTAACAAAAATCTTTCATTTCAAATGTTGTACCAAGCTATTTAATGAAAGAATTTATGAACTCAAGATTACCATTCATTAGCAGATCATCAACATAGACTACAGTTTTAGAAAAGCTCTTGCAAATGATAACTAAGTGAATGATCTGTGGGATTGTCATTAAACCTTGTTTCCCAAGATTTTATGGTCCCGTTTGTTTTCAAAGATAGAATGGAGGGGAGACTAATAGTGAAGGGATTGTTAATGAGGGAATTAATAGTGAGGAATTGTTAAATTATTTTTATATAAAATAATAAAATAAATAAAAAAATATAAAAAATTAAACATTAATATTTAAAAAAAAATTCCCAATATATAAAAAATAAAAAAAATAATTTTTTTTTAATCCCCCTTATTATTTTTCTAATACTATCTCTATCTCTTCCTTACCAATCTCCCAAGGGAACTACTAATACCAAGGGATTAATAGTCTCCTCCCCATCTCTCAAAACAAACACTCTATTAGTAATACCAAGAAATTAGTAATCCCAATCCCCTCCCTATAACCCAAACAAATGGGGCCTATGTTCATTGGGCATGACTTAATAGAGGGTTTGTTGAGGGCTGCAAGCTCATCATTGGTGTGGATGGTGGTCATCTCTAATGGTTTCCAGTTGCTGACTGCAATTGGCATGGTGGTAACCATGGAATATATCTTGTGGCATGTACAGGTGGGGTTGGTTCTTAGGGCCTTTGGTTGATGATATTGGGATCTCAAATGAACTTGCTCCCAATTATCTCTGATAAACAGAAGGTAAAATATATTGAGATTTGTTGTTTGTTGAATATTTATGTTTATCTTACATAAATTAAGGTTTCACATTAAAACTTCAATGTTTTAAGGTTTGGAGAATGCCATTGGAGAGTTGTCGTCTGTGTTGAACATAGCTTATGCTATATATGTTGGTAAATTATGTGGAGGCATCTGAGCAACAATTTCAAGTTAGTTGAATTCACAGGTCAAGCTCTGAACGACAAATTATGGAAATTAGCTAGGGCTAGCTATATATGTTGGTAAATTAAATTGGGAAATGGAGACATTGGAGAGAGATTATAAAAGGCCTTTTTCTTTTCAGTGGAGAGTCCCAAATGTAACATCTTACATTATAAAAATAATAATTTTATTATGAACTATTGGAATTATTATTATTATTATTTTGAAAACGTGGAAGCTTTTATATTAACAACTAACAACATACATAAATAAGACTTTAAAGGACCTTACAACATACATAAACAAGACCTTAAAGGACCTTACAAACCATACCTTAAAAAAAAAAACAATAAATTTGTCAAAAAAATTAGTCACGATTCAGGGAAAATCACCGATCTTATCAAAGATATTGTTTGAAAAGCAAGATTTGAGTCAAACCAAGCAGGATCTGCTTGAAAGTCTGTCATCCTTGTCAACGTCGTCCTCGTTCCCAGTGCCTAACTCTGTTACCACTACCACCCTATTTTTGACCAGAAGCTAGAATTAAGGAGAAAGTACACCCACAATGATATGACAGAATGTTTGAGAGAGGAGGGAACCATTGTGGATATCAAAAATTCAAAAATTTATGCCGAAATCAGGAAAGAAAACTCTCAACTCTTATTTTAGACATAAAAAAAATTAATATCTACACTCTAAAACTGCAGACATATACTTCAGAATAGGAGTGAGCAGGTGAACCAAACAATCTGTAATTCGAACCAGTCTAGTCCAATTCGGTAAGTTTGGTTTAGTTTGATTTTTCTAATCTGTGATTTCAGATTAGTTTAAAAAATTAGCAATCTATTAATTACGAATTAGTTTCGAATTGAATCCAAGCCGGACATTTTAGTATTCCACCCTACCATTATACGATATAACCTGCATATAATCCTAACTTTTATATATAAAACCTAAATAAGGAACCCTCCGAAGAAAGAAGAGGCGCTGCTCTGAATGAAACTACCACTAACTATCAATAATTAATTTATTAATATTACAAGTACATTTGGGTTGCTGCTATTAGGGCTGAGCAAGGAATCCGCGAAATCCGTAATCCGATCCAGTCCAGTCCAATCCGATAGGTTTGGATTGGTTTTTTGAATCCGCGGTTCGGTTCCGGATTGAAGAATTAAAAATCCGTAGTTCACGGATTGATTCCGGATTGATTCCCACGGTTCTGGATTGGAACCGATCCGGACCGTATATATAATAAATTATGTAGCATAAGTTTAGTTTTGTATCTGTTATTGTCACAACAAAATGTTTGTTAAATGAGAATTTTATTTATTAGATATTGAACTTATGTTTATTTGTTAAGTGATGAATTTATATTTATTTGCTACATGTTGAATGTTTTTACAACAATATTATATAATTTTTATTATGTGAAATTATGGTTCTAAACTGAACCAATCCGTGTTTAAATGATTTAGTTCAGATTATTTCCATGGTTTAAGTGGTTCGGAATTGTTCTAATTTTTATGAAGCCATAGTTCACAATTAGTCCTGATTTCATCCCAAACCGATCTAATCTGGACCATGCTTATCCTTACTTTAAAAGTGTAAAGGAAATCCCCGGAATATCGCTCGAACACCACCAGAAATCTTATAGGAAGAGAAGCTCTGCACTCTCTCAGTCTCTCTCTCTCTCTCTCTATGGAACTTTTCCACATTATATTATTATATTGTATGAACTTAGTGTAAATAATTTTTTGGTGTTAGGTATATAACAGTCTTTATAATCCAAAATCATAAACTATCATGATTTTTACAAATAATAACATAATGCAGAAAATAAATAATATATCTGGATCAGTTATGCAAAACCTTCAAGTGATCCAAAATTGATTGAACACAAATGTCACATTCCGAATTTTAATTATTCGGAAACATTACCAAAAGCCTTTAATTTGGGTCTCTTTTTTTTTTAAATTTTTTATAACAAATATCTGTTACTCTTGAGTAATAGAAACGTAATAACACTTGTTCTCTCTCTCTCTCTCTCTCTCTCTCTCAATGAATACAACAATAATAATAATACATGCCAAGCTTCCACTACGGAGTTACAAATAAATATTTACAAACGTCAATATATAGAATTCATTTCTTTCACATCTACTATGAAATTACACATAAAAGATACATGAACTTCTTAACCCTCCAACCAATCAATTCGACTTCTCTTCCTGTAAGAAAAATAAAACAACAAGGGATGAATACAATTGCCCAGTAGGAATCTCATAGTTCTGTAACAATAACCATCTTGTAGATAAAAATGATCATGCATGCAGTGTGATACCATATAGTAATGGGACGTTTTGTAATTTCAAAATATCATACATAGAGTACTTTTTTGTCAAAATTTATTTGAACAATTAAAGTAAACCTCCAGCCATAAAAATTATCTCTTATCATCAGAAAGCCATAAATCCTTTTTGAAAACAAATATGTTTAAGGAACAACACCATTTTAAATTTATTAACCCATCCCAAAATATTCCTCATTTAATTTTCATCTTAACATTCCTCTTTTTATTTCTATTTTTCCTTTTTACCAATCACATTCATTATAACACCATAACCTCAAGTTCAAGTTCCCTTAATACTCAAAACAGCTCTCATACACTCCATTCCCACCGGTCTATTCATTTTTGTTGTAACTCCTTAACGTACAAATCCAAATCTCCTTTATATTCAATAACAGTTCTTCTACACTCAACTCTTACTTGTCTAACAGATACATCACATCCACATTTGCATAATCAATTATAATTCAACATATCACGAGGATAACAAACCTTTTTAATTCAATTTCTTTAGTAATTACAAAACAAAACTCTTAATCTTTCCTTATAATTGCAAACAACCTGGTGAATTCATTATCACCAACCCCTTATCCAGTTACTATTTCCTTATCCATTCTTTTCAAATAATTTCTATATATTCCCCTTCTATGCCAAATTACACATCAAATTGTAATTTCATAAGTCCATCACAAATCACACATATCATTATCGATTCAATGTATCTCACAACACATTTTACCTTTTGCCGACTTGATACGGCGGGATAGTGGGCACCCAATTCATAACACCCTCCACATTTTGCCGGCTATTATACGGCAGGAAGTGAACTCCCAAAAATCATTTTTATCAAAAATCATGTTTTTCCAATTGACCGACTGTCGTACAGTAGGTGTAGACCGCCCGAACTTCCTCCGCACGCCCCCCTTTCGGAGAGGGCACGGAATTGGGTTCATAGCTACTACAGTTCGAACTCCTATCACGATTCTGTATCTAGTCTCACAAAGTGCAATGTAAGACTGATAAATCACCAAAAGTCTAAATCTGGCAAATCGTTTTGGAAAATCGATTTTAATCAAGAAGTGCCAAACATGGACTGCTTTGCCAGTTATGCAAAACCTTCAAGTGATCCAAAATTGATTGAACACAAATGTCACGTTCCGAATTTTAATTATTCGGAAACATTACCAAAAGCCTTTAATTTGGGTCTTTTTTTTTTAATTTTTTATAAAAAATATCTGTTACTCTTGAGTAATAGAAACATAATAACACTTGTTCTCTCTCTCTCTCTCTCAATGAATACAACAATAATAATAATACATGCCAAGCTTCCACTACGGAGTTACA